GTGTGTGTGTGTGTGTGTGTGTGTGTGTGTGTGTGTGTGTGTGCGTGTGTGTGTGTGTGTGTGTGTGTGTGTGTGTATTATTATATATTTCGTGATAGCTATTAAAAAAAAAACCAAAACTTCGAGAAAGGTTGAATGATGAGTTGTTAATAACAAGTACAAATAAATAACATCTGTTCTAAATAACATCTGACAAGAAAGAGATTAGTTTCTGACGAGAGTCAAATCAAGCTTGACGTTATTCCTTGACACTGTAGATTACTTACGCAATTACGTATCAAGTGATTTTCATCGAATAAGTAACTTTTTATTTTCCAAACCTGTGTCCATTGAAAAATAAACAGAAAAATGGAAAGGAAGGCAATAAAAAAGATCAATGTCTTCTCATTTCCTTATACTATAGCTTTACCAATATATCGACGAATTCCATCAGGAAGAATCCATTTCTGGGTATTGCAAATTTAATTAATCATAATTTTAAAATTCAATACTCATTGCATAACATACATACATGTATGTATATGATAATATTTCTATATTTCGAAAATAGTTATAAAAAGTTCGAGAATAATATTCCTTCTGTCTCAAATATTCTATTTGGAGATATTATTCGGAGATAATATTCGTGAAATGTGCAAAAATATAAGTTTGCTAATGTACTTTTTTTGTATAGCATATAGCAGAACTTGGCTTAGAGAAAAACAAACAAAGGCAAAAATATATTTCGTTCGAGAGCATCAGATTAGCACTATTTCAAATAAGAGAATATATTTTTAAAACTCCACTTTCTGAGGTAATTAATTCCATAAAACTTTCTTAATTCAACTGTTTTTTGTTTTAAATTTTAAGCAAGATTAGCTATTCGAAGAATATAAGTACTTTACTCAAAATCTAAAAACTTCAATCTCAACCTCATCACAAAACTTCAATCTCTTTAATATATCTTAATAATATCCACCAAAATATTAAAAAATAAAAAAATATCAAATATATGCAAATGTATGTAATTTCCCATTTTGTGATAAGTGATTTAAAATTAATCCAATTACAAATTGAAATAAATTGTATGCAATAAATTAAGTCAAATTTATGAATTACTTCAAATAACAATTTTTTTGGTTTCTCGCTAATATAGTATATATATATATA